TGAAGTCATTTTCTAACAGAACATTACTAGCCTTAAAATCTCGATGAATCACTCGAGGGTTAGAATCTTCATGAAGATAAGCCAATCCTCTAGCTGCTCCAAGGGCAATCTTCAGGCGTGCATCCCAATCAAGAGGTCCTTTCTTTTTGTCAATACCTAAACCACCAATAGAAAGGTCATATATAGGAAACTTGGATTAAAGGTCAATCAATTTTAATGAAAACTCAAATCATATGAAAAAACTTATTAGCATCGCAACATCAGGTGATCTTGCCAATACAGATAGGAATTAACAATACCCTTTTCTTATTTTTCCTTTTCCTTTTCCTTTAAATTTTACCGGATAATAAGTTAATGGGTAGCTTTCTTAACATAATGCACAATACTAATTGAACAAGCAATAGTTCAACAAACATAACAGAAAAAAAATGGGCAAAGTTGATACCATGCAAGTGTGATTCCACACTTCCATTTGGAACAAGCTCATAAACCAAGCAGCGTATGCGTCCTTCAATACATATACCAACAAGTTTTACAAGATTGCGGTGGTGCAATCGGCTTAGCATCTCCACTTCTGCAATAAATTCACGGTCTCCATTCTGATTATCTCTTGTAAGTAACTTAACAGCTACCTCATTTCCATCTTCCATAACGCCACGGTAAACACGTCCAAATCCTCCTTCACCAAGAATCCTCTTTGAACTGAACTTGTCTGTTGCCTTCTCAAGCTCCACAACTGCAAATGTTTTAACTGAGAGAGCACAAGTAGCCATAGTGGACATGAGTGACATTGATGCAGAGCTTGAAATACTGCTTGACAAGATAGAACCAATGCCTGCATTAACATGGAGATTAAATCACCATACATTCCAACTTCACTGGCATCAGGATAGTTCGTACAGACAACAATGAAATATAACTAGATTAGACCATTCCAGTAAAGTCAACCAACATATTTAATAAAATACAGTAAAAACCTGATGTTTTGCAAACCATGCCTTATCAAGATGATATATACACTGCAAGCACCCACAACAAAGGATTGAAGAAACAAAGAAAGTTCCAGCAATATGGACAAAACTTTTATGATCACATATGCGGATAAAGGAAACCAAAATAAAGGCATCTGCAGATATCCAAACTTCTGGGTAATTGTTACAGTCATTGAAAATGCATAAAGAATATCAGCCAAGGATTGTGTGTACACAGAAATAGTGGACAACCAGTTACCAGCATTGCAGTACATTCCAGTTCTATGTAACAGACTCTAAATTTCAAACATAAAGCTCACTTGCAAACCTACCAGATCTTTTGTTTACTGAGGAAGGAAATGCCGGACCAACAGCATTGGATGGTCTTCCAACCTTCCTCCATTTTATGAGGACAGAGATCGCTCCAACTAAAACCAATAGGAGCACAAAAGCAGATAAAACAATAATCGCAATGATCCTGATGTTCATCTTCTGGTTCTTGTTAAGAAAATTGGCCGTGATTGGGAGATCTCCAGCACTTCCGGTTGGACCACTCCCCAAAATATTCCCATATGGCGGTGAAGCAGGAATTCCTGATAAAATGTTTTTGACATCATAACCATGACATAACAACAAAATAGTATGAGATAAGTCATTCAAAAACAAGAAGAGATAACTACCTGGATAACTTATGGATACCACCTCATATGTTCCAAAAAGAGTTGAATTTAGAGACACTCTTTTATGCCAAAGTCGGTCATATGTAAGTATTGCTGTCGTATTATCAAACTTCTCTCCAAGTGGAACCAAGTTAATCTCCACCATCGTTCTCCCCTGATTTTGAGTATCAGCGGTCGCACCCATTATTTTCACTTGACTTTGTTGCAAATATATGCCTGCAGCAACCTCAATCTCTAGCTCATTCATTACGGGGAAAACAGCATAAGGAGCTACAGTTAGAAGAAGTTTGACTTTCATAGGGAACACACAACCACAAGGTGAACCAAAGGGGGTTGCAGTAAGTGGCTCCACGCAAATTTGATCACAACCTGACAAAGATTTTATAATCAAAACCAAAAAGAATTATCTGAGAAATATGTGTGTCACAAATTTTAAAACAGAGTTAAAATACAAGCAAGTGTGTGATTTACTAGACACATGCTATGACTCATTGATTATTCAAACATGCTCCAATATGTGAAACCACACATCCAACCATGCCATACTCCCCAAGATTAACAATAAGTTTTTGTAGGCCCCTCAACTAATTTCAAACAATAATTTTTTTTCTTTTGTGGCCAACTAAAAATTCAAGCCTATGCAGGCCATCTCATCTAGGTATTGCTTAAAGACCCATGGGAAGTGTACCTTGCTCTGAAGGTGATGGAGCAGATGCTTGAGGTTTAACATGACGATGATGGTGATGACCACCATGACGATGACGAGGTACCACATGGCTACTGGGGCTAGCAACAGGAGCTGCAATGCAAGAGACATCAGCCAAATGACAGCATTAATGTACCAGCAAGGTGCTAAACATAGATTGCAATAAGTACCTTGATGGATAGGAGACACTGCAGGTGCAGTGGCTGGTCCAAAAGAAGGATTAACATGTTTCTGGGGTGATCTTGGTCGAGAAAATAATGCACGCATTGAAATTAACCTAGCTGCTAGCAGTGGAGCATCCTTGTTAGTAATCAATGTGCAAGAGCAATAATGCACAGAAATGACAGAAGTTATGATGCCTTTCAAAGTCATCTGATAAATTATAACAAACATCTATAGCAAATTGGTAAATATGAACAGCTTGACCTTGTACGTTTTTGTCTTTTGTTACATCAAGAATTTAGCATAATGGGTATATACCACAAGAAGTAACAGGAGGATTGAAAAACCTTTCAATAACCTTGACATAAAAAGAACTGGGATTAGGCAAAAAGAAATAATAAAAAACTATCTAATGATAAAACCTACTTCAAGAAAAGAAAGGTGAGAGTCCCTCTCTGAAACAAAATACATAAAGGTCTTTATAAGATCATTCTTCAGCTAGAACCATTAATGGGCAAAAAAAAAAACATAAAACTGTAAAACAGAATTCACAAGCTTGTGCAAAATGACGACAAGTTTTGAGCTAGGACATGCCAATTTATCAACTAAAAGTAAAAGCCAGATGCCTCTTAAAATACTTTCCATTATTTTTTGTATTAGTCAAGTAATTAATGTTTGGGAAGACATATGAATTAGAGCAAGTTCAGTGGATATAGGCAAACTTGATAAGGCTTTTCAGGAGTTTGAATGGTAATGGCTTAGGCCACAGTTTTTTATTTTTTAAAAAAGAAAACATAAATTGCTCTAAAAATTCTTTCTTCAGAGATCTTCATTTAACATGATACCTTCAAAGATACTACCTCAACCTCTATATATTTGGATATACAAATACATTCTTTTAAGTCTAGACAGGAGTTGAAACCAAATTAAAAAGAAAAAAAGAAAGAAAAATAAATCAATACCATGGTCAACTATTGTTCCCATCGCAGACATCCGGTGCACTGGTTGCAAAGAAGCCAAGTATATTTGCAGCCCTGAAAATAAAAATAACACAAAATGGAATTGGTGCTAATTTTCCTTAATGAGCAATAGTTATTGAAATTATTGTAGTGACATATGTCTGTGCCTGTACTTGAATGCATCAAATAATAACTGTATATTGCAACAGTTAGATAATTATGAATAGATCTCAATAGTTCCAAGAGTAATTAATTTTGAACATTTACTTAAAATAGATCTACTCCAACGAAGTGTTACAAACATAGTTTAGTACGATATTTAAGGCTCATATTTCCATACAAGGAACACCCATGACAAAATATAAAAGTCATATATATAAATACCACCTCACTCAACCACAAATTTTTCAGTGAACCAGCAGAAAACTAACAGAGAATCGCATATTCCTCAAGGGGCTGAAATGTGAATCAACTATCTAAAATATTTTCTAAACTCCCGATTCTTCTCAAAATGCTCTATGGAATCAGAAAACGGGAGACTAATGGATGACTCAAAAAGAAAAAGCCTTCTATAATCATTTTTTTTTACATTTTTCTTTTTTCCATTTTTGGTTTTGGCGAATGCCAAAGAGTAAGCTAAAAAGAGAATTTAATAGTGGAAAATTTAAGTAGACATACGAGAGCCAATCAGCTCAAACTGAATGCTAACAAGCACAAAAGCCAAAGTCTACTGAGCTTAACAAAGCACGTTGACTTTTTGTTTATTTCCCAATAAAAATTAAAAGCTAAATCGAACTGGATTTACTCCAGTTTCCTTCCTTTTCTACTATCTTCTGAGTAACTAAACCGATGAAAAACATGAATTAAAAAAAATTAAAGTATCCAAAAAAAGTGTTACCTGAACAAGAACAAGAGAGAAAGCTGAGTAAGTAAACAAGAAGCACAAGGAACAGAGTCAAAGCAGGCATCTTCCCTCGCTGAACCAGAGTCCACAACAACCATCGTCAGAAAGCGAGACCAACTCGGACTGCGCGAGCCTCGTTGGAGAGCCACCGGAGAGACCTAAAGTTCCGGTGGACCATTAGCCGCCGGGAAGCCTCTCCGTCGCATTCTCCGAGCGAAGCAATACACCTCATAACCAAACAAGAGTAAAGCTACACAGCTCCACCGCCAAGCGCCAACAAAAAAAAGAAAGAAAGCTTCGAAAAAACCCTAGGAGAGAGAAGATTAAGACAATGCGGCTCGGCGCGATTGTAGATCCATGAAATGCAGCAAAGATCTACCGCAACAATGTAAAGAAAAGAGATTTTTTTTCCTTTGTCCTTTCTTTTCTTTTCTTTTTTGGAAAGCAAAGGGGGAAAAGGGGATCTACTGGGGAGAGTAAGGAGACGGAAAAAGAGAGGGGGTTCTTGAAATGGGAGTAGGAATTGATAGAGTAGAGAACTGTGAGAGAGAGAGAGAGTGGAAGTGGGAGGGAAGGTGGGGAGGTGCTTTATTGCTGGTGTGTAGCTACAGCAAATTCTGCTTCGGGAAATTGATGGTGGCTGTCTGGAACGCGCTTTTATTCAGGCGCGTTGTCGCAACGCACCGACGAAAACGACAAACCTGGGGCCGTTTGTTGCCGTCACTTGGAAACCATTTTAACAAATTTCAGTTCATTAAAGAATATTGGTAAATATGAAGATGGAAAATAAAAATATACATGTGCCGAGTGCTAAGTTGCCATTATCTAACATAATTTGTAATTATGGATTTTTTTTCCTGATTTATAAGCAAAATAATATTTGAAACATTTTACTTTTGTATTAATATTTTGACCTAATGCTTGAAAAATTTTTGAATTATTTAAAAAATTTTAAATAAATTTTTATTTGTCTATTTTATTAAATCAAATTCTTATAATTTTATTTTAAATTAAAAAAAAATTTTAACTAATAATTGATACTACTTGTTATTTAATACTAACGTGACCCTAACATAAAAAGTGAAAGATATCATATAATCATATTATCATTCTACATCAATATTTCACATTATCATCTATTATGATATCCCCATTAGGGCTCCTTAAGGGAGCACCTATGCTCCCCTCCCTTTAGAGCATCGATTGGTACTCTTTTTTCTCGGGGAGTCAGTGCTTCATATATTTTATATTTTAAAAAATATAATAATAATTTTTTAAATTAATAAAAAAAAATATTTTAATCTTTTCATAATCTCTGTTAATAGTATTTGCGCTCTTGAGATAGAGTGTTTATGTTAAAAATTAATAGATCCGCTTGAAATTTTAGTTAAAACTTAGAAGGGTAGGAGCATTTTATCCAAGATTTTACCTATTATATTAACTTGCATTTGTTTGGAATTTAGAGGATGCAAAATAAACTCATACTTTCTCCTAATTTATTACTTTAACAAGTTTCAAACTTTTCTCATCAACTTCTTTTCATAAGCTCTTTAACTAGGAATCAATTTTTAGTGACATTCGAAAAAGTGCTATTCACCCCTCCTAACACATACTTTGAGACCAACAAAAGCTTTGTAAGAATGAAGATAAGAAATAATTATCTAAGCTGAGAAACTTTTTATAGTGAGGAAAGGTATGTATGATCTTTGAAGATATTTAGCTCTTTCAAAAATATTCTTCTCTTGTTTTCCTTCTCTTTTTCTTTCTCTTCTCATTCTCTTTCTCTTCCTTCCTCTTTTTTCTAATGTCTTTTGGTCGAGTATTTATAAGCTTGGACCTTTTGTGACTGTTGGAGTAAGATTCAAAACTTTTTTTCTATTTCGTGCTAATTAGAACTTTTGTCTGTTGTGCCTATAAAATCGACATGTTGTACCTTTGGTGTCAATTCTTTATAATTTTGAAAAATCTACATCTTTTTGTTTTTTTTGAGAATTGACATGTTCTTCATTTGGTATCAATTCCTTACAACATGCCCCAAGTTTGCTCTTTTTTGTCTTTTCCTAGCATCAACATATTGCACTCTTGGTGTCGGTTCTTCATGTGTGTTTGGCACAATCCAAAAATTTAGACTTGAATTTTGCGCTTCAATCTTATCCATTTTTCAACTTTTACTTCTTCTCCAAGTTTTTGATGTTTTCTTTCTGAAGCTTCCAAAATCAACATGTCACCTTTTTGGTGTAGATTCTCACTTTATCAAATGACTTTTGTTTATCCAAAATCAACATATACTTGTTTGACAATTAATTTTTCTTGTAATAAAAGAAGTGATTTTACTTTCTGTACAGTTGAGAATCGATTCCTCACTTTCTAAAAGTCGATTCTTGCTACTGGCAATTTAGAGTTTAAAGACTTATAAATATTTTTCAATTCAAAACTTTTTGGGGATTTTCTTCACATTTGAGAACTCTTTTCATCTCTTTCAAGTAAATCAAGTTTGTCATTTCAAAATCAAAATAAAGATAACAATCACCTCCTTTTTGATATTACAAAATTAAGAGTTAAATTTGCTCATTTGAAAAACTCCCTTTGAATTTGTACATTAAAAGTTTGAAGAACTCTCCCCTTGAATTTGTGTTTACTTAAAAAAATTATAAACATTTTTAAGAAAGTCCAGCAATGAAAAACTAATAAGCATAGCAAATTTACTCAAAATATTCTCTCATTTTTTGTTATATAAAAAAGGAATAAAAAATAGAGTACCACAATAAAAACTCACGGGGAAGAATAAAGCATTCGTAGCACAAGTAAGCATATAAATAATAATTACTGCACTATTATGAAAATGTCTCATACAAGTAGACATATATAATCATTCAAGGAATTGAGAACAGATAATTAGTAAAAGAAAAGATATTTCAACTAGAGAAGTTTGCAATACATTTATTAATTATATAGCAACAAAACATAAATCATATCATGCAAATGATATAGGTTGGTTGAAGGATTGAAAGGTTTAAGGGTTTAATCAGAATCAAATTCAGAGCTTTCAACAATATCGACAAAGACAGTGGAAGGTTTGTCATTCAGCCAATCATTTAAAGTTTCTTTTTTATTTGTCAAGTCAATTTGATTTTCAAACACTTGTTAAATTGCCTTCATCAGTTTTTTTTAGCTTTTCTTTCCAAATTCTTCAATTGAATGATAGTAATGATCAAACATATTCTGATATTGAGGAGAAAATCTAGCAATTGCATTGTCTATTTTCTCATCAATGGCTTTAAGACTTTGTTCTATCATTTTTCCTTGATTGTCAATTCTAGTCTTCAAGTAGTCATACGCACCTTGTCCAATGTACATTTTATCTGGTTGGCTAGGAGATTCACAACTTATTGAAGGAGTATTGGTTTAAGGATTAGCTGTTGTCTGAGTAAGAGAAGTAGTAGGTATTGGCTGGCAACTCTAGTATTTCTTTGTTTTGTGTTTCTTTCTTCTTTACCCATTTGTTTGATGATGCATCATATTCAGACCCCATTTTGATAAATGTACTTCTATCCATAAACTTTATCTTGTTTTGCATAATTAGTTTGTTAAGGTTCTAGTTTACTTTCCACTCTTCCTTTAATTCAGAGACAACCATCCCATATATCAAATTATTTCTTACTCCCTTAACAAGAATTCTCATGTCCCTAAAAATGAATTGAGTAAGATCGATTTGTGTGCTTTATTTTATGTGATGCATGAACCACATCATTTCAGGTGTTACAACAACATTCTTTGATCCAAAAGGTCTGATATTGTACATAATTATAAGGTTTAAAATTCTATCTTGTAGACTCAACCTTGAAGCATTATTTGGAACTTAGGAGTTATTATTGGTCTAACTAGAAACCCTGATATTGTACACTTTTGTTATTGATCCAAAAGCAATCAACATATCACAATAATTATTTAACATATGATATACAATATGCACTCAAAAAGACACAATCATTTTATCAAATAAAAGAACTAAATGATTTAATTTGGCATAAAAAATTATTTCAGTCAAAACAAGATAATAGACATGCAATTCAAATTTTATATTTTGCAAATGAGTAAGTTTTGGTATAGAAATCACTTGGCTATGTATTGAGTTTTCATGAGAATCTTCCTCCTTACTTTAAATTACTTTAAATTACCTACAACACACACCTCCATTTGATTCTTGATATCCAAATTTCTTTGGATCCTCTTGTTAGTACTAATCATATTAGTTTTTCTTGGAACCTCATTGACCTTAACCATCTGGCCAAAAGTAAGCTTGGTTCTTTTTGGAACCTATACCCTTTTGATTACTTTTCCTTTGGGTGATGTTTTTCTAAAAAGGCAGAAAGATATAAAATAACCTACTTTATGACAACAAATGCATAAATGTGATGCATCAAATTTTTCATTTTCATTTTTAAAGAAAGTTTTTGTCTTAACTTCTTTTTGTCTCTAATTATAGCTTAAACCTTGTTTGTCAAAGAATACTTTTTAAGCTTGAAGCATCCTATTCAACTTTTGCCAAACTCGTGTTTCATTTAGAAAATGATTCATTTAATTGCTCATTTTTTGTCTCAACACATTTACTTCATTCTCTATATGTTTAACCTTATCTTCAAACTCAATTTTTAATTTAATGAGACAATCATTTTCAACCTTAAGTTTAGAGATAGTCTTTTTTTATTTTAAGGTCATATTTTCAAATTCAAATGCTAAATCATTATATGGATCTTGAATTTCATCAAATGTGTATGAATCATCATTGAAATCACAGGAGCAAGAGGCATTGTTTGAGAAACATACCTTGGAGTTTTCAACTCCTAACAAACACAAATTGGCTACTTGTTGCTCCTCTTCATTTTGAGTTTAATCATTATCACTCCATGCAGCTATCATGACCTTTCTTTTTGAGTCTTTAGGATGACTCTTTTTGAGACTTGGACATTCATATTTGGTATAACTAGACTTTCTACACTCATAACAAATTATATGATTTTTTTCACAATCAACCTTTGTTGTGTCTTTTCTCACATTCCTTCTTTGCCTATCCCTCCTAAAAGGTCTTTTATCTCTTTCTTTGTTTCTCAAGAATCTACTGAAGTTTATTGTCAACAAGGTTACATCATCATCATCTTCTTCATCATCACTCTCAAGTAACTTTTCATCACTTTATTTTACAACTTTAAGAGCAATGTTTTTTCTCTTTGATTCTTCTCTAATTGCTTCATCTCTTTCTTTTTCATGCCTAAGGGTCATCTTATAAGTGAGGAAAAAACTTAGAAGCTCACCCAACTTAAGCACATTTAAGTCTTTGGCTTCTTTTATGGCAGTGACCTTAGGTCTCCAAGACTTTGGTAGGCAATGGAGGATTTTCTTCACTAATTATACAATAGCAAATTCTCTCCCTGACGCGTTAAGTCCTCCTATAATTTTAGTGAACCTTTCAAACATCTTTTTAATGGATTCTTTATCATTCATTTTAAAGAGTTCGTAATCAAAAGTCAGAATACTAATTTTTAATTCTTTCACTTGATTCGTGTCTTCATAGCAA